TTTATACAAAAAAATACAGTAATATTTAAAAACTAAGATTGTAAGCGATACTGTCTGAAAAAATACGTGATTAATTATTGAAAAGTTTTATTATTCAATCATGTGCGATTGACAAGAGTAACTATTACCACTGACTCTTATTATAGTAATTATTTAGTTTTAGGCACGAGAACTCAGAGATATAGATATATAATGGAAAGAATAAATCCTTTGTACAAAGTATCATTAACTCAACATTAGCGTACAAGTCTGAAGTTCTAGGGATCTCAGGTTCGAATTATTTCGATGTTTTCAAAAATTATAAATCTGCGTATAAATTGTAATTAATAAAATAGAAAATATGCACTAATAGTAAACTGTACAAATTAAACTCTAAAAATAATATATATTCTAAAAATAAAATAAAAAAAAATAAATTTGTTTTATAATTTTTTTAACAGGATTGAAGCTTGCTTTGGAAGCAGAAAGCTTCCAAAACATGATTTCTGAGCTCCCTGTAAGCTTAAATAAAGCTTCCTGCAAACTTAAATGAAGCTGTCAAGGAGCTTTCAAAAGCGGACATAGGAGCTCCCGGGAAGCTCCGTGCGAGTTTTTTTGAAGTTCAAATGAAGCTTACAAAATACTACATGAGCTCCTTGTTAACTCTCCGGGAGTGTTAATTCCCCGTGCTGTGTGGGTCTACACTAATGAAATGTTTACGTCAAGTGATAGCTGTACGATCCGAAAAAATGTAATTTTTTAATTTTTTTTTGTTTTTACTACAAATTCCTTCGTCCCCCAAATACATTTTATATCTATTTTAATCCTGTAAAAGGATTTTCGTTCTGTCATTTCGGAGAAATTTTTACAACTGCAGTGTGTCGGTAATTCCGACTTTTCAGCGTCGCCTTAAAATCGAAAAAATTTGTAGTTTTTAAAGTGCTCCAATCAATCGATTTGATCTATAATATCTGTACGTTTGATACTCTTCTTTTAGTCCGCAATAGATCCACGAAAGCATAATATCTTGTTAGAGGCTTAATATTGTACACTGTCACCATAAGTGTTCGCAGTTTCAATTATTGTGAATTTATGTAACGCGTATCAATTGTGTTCGAACTTCATAGAATCCGCTGGTGAAGCATCGTTCGTATAATGAAGCGGCATGGTAAACATCTAATACGAAATTATATTTGGCCGGATGAAAAGGACAATAAGATCTATTCGACACGTATTTAAATTTCCATATGCGTGGATTCGGTTTAGTTTGTAGTATCTGATAATAGCGATTGAAAAAGGCTAAGTAAGCTGAAACTAGTCTCGCAATGTTTTTAATTTAATTTATTTAAATGACTTATTAAAGAATTTTTATCAATTGACATCTTTTGTTTTATGCTCGTCTTTGGCCTATTGTCCTGTCTTTTTTATTGTTTTAAAGTGCTCCTCTAATTTTTTTGCGTAGTGTATTTAAATATTTTTGCCAACCAAGATTTATAGTTGTACAGTGAGTACAGTTTCACATGAGTTTCTGACTTTGCACGCGTACCAAAATATAATATACAATAAAAATTGTGTTTTATTTATGAAACATTTTTTGTTAATAACTTAAAACAATGGCTAAAACCTTTTAAAGGTCACTCAGATGATAGTATATGTCAAGATCAAGGCCACTGAAGGTGATCCCCTGATTAAAATATTTACCTATCACATATTTTTATCATTTCATCTTAAAAAATGACTTTTTTATAGGAGTGAAAATCCTTTTAAAGGTTTTTATTTTAACCCAAATTAAAGCTTTCGACAAAGTTTCAATGAAATCGGAGGTGGATCGTTTTCGGAAGTCCTTTTCATAATATTTGCAACAATATTTACGATAAATATTTTTATGATATTTATGATAAATTTTTACGATCTGTCCAATCTAAGACCACAAAAATATTTATGAAATATTTCATAAATATTTTGTGCTGTTTGGGGTGATAGTCAATTGAATACGATTTTTAAACTAAATTTACAAATCCAGATGTTAAAAGACAGTAGTAAATTACCCAAATTAGCAACATACATAAAAGACTAAAGTATAGTTTTATACGATTTTTAGATAAATTAGCAATTCTTAAACCAAACACATAACTGATTATTAGAAGTGGCTTTAAAATTGTTCGAATATTTTTGGTCATTGCATGTGCCGTTGATACATCAAACTGAACTTTTCCTGGCTAGTTTGTTGCATAAAGTGTCTGGAATGATAACGGTAGTATACAATTTCAATTAAGGCTCTTATGAATATTAAAGTCTATTCCAATTAATTTATGTCACACTCTGTTGAAACTAGATGGTAGATATGTCTGTTTTAACAGGAAGTGGACATGTTTCATGTAATAAAAAAGTGAATATTATTTTTGTCATTCGTTTTTTATTGTAAATTTTTTATATGACATTACTGTACAAATTAAAAAATTTCATTAAGCAAGACAGATTTTAATTATTGTTACATTTGTAGTGAATGCTTAATATAAATATCATAAATACAATAAAGCATTGTTGTCCATTTCGATAGATATTATTTAAATGCATTTTATAAAGTATCCAATACTATTTAAACTGCTATAATTTGATAATTATATTAACATATTTTCGTGCGCTTGTATCATTATAACTAAAACAGTCGCAATTGACATGATGAACTAAAAATAAAAACAATGTATAAATTGCTCTTTTTAATATTAATCATGAATTTAAGTTACGTGTAGTGGTATTACGCACCCTATGAAGAAATTTGAAACCAAATTGGAAAAGTCCTATTCCGCAGAATCTAAGTGGCATATGTACAATTTGTAATGAATATTGTGAAATCTGTATTAATATACAATCTATTACTATTAATATACATACATGCTGATTATTTAGACGTTATTAAATGTTTATTTTAATCATGTTTCAACAAAATCATTTTAAAACTTACGGTTTCACGAATTTCAACATCACAAGTGGAATACAATAATTTATTTAGTAAATTTGCTGTTGCACTTGCCTAAAATTAAAATATGTTAAATAAATTATAAAATGTATTTCTAATTCAGTAATTTTAAACAAAATTATCACTCATCAACAATGAAATTTTCGTTGAAAACAAATTTTAGATAGATAAATATTATTTGAAATTAAATATTGAATCAGTACCTTGGTACTAATTGTTTCGCACACGTAATTAAAGAGCAGAAATTTAAAAATGTTATGAGTAATCCATATTACGATCGTTGATGTATACAATATTTTAGATTTTACATAATTGTCAATAAGTATTTCGACGAAAGTTGCGCGGATTTGATCCACTATCCAAATAAAATAGCATGCCATTTTGAAAGACATTTCTGTTACGAATATAGAATCTATTTCATAGGATATTTTGCGTAAATCCAAGTGAAGATGTCTGTATAAATATTACATTTTATTCTGTATGTTGTGTATATACTATATATGTCATATGTAAATATTTATTTAGTTTTATTTAGTACTATTTATTTAGTGGCATTTAGTTAGATTTTTTTACCTAATGATCCATATCATGCGTTTGATATTTAAAATTTTTGAAAACTGGTGTCGATGCGAAGGTATGAGATTTTTCGAAACTTGTGTTATTTTAAGATCGTTACCTGTCATCAAATTCTGAACATGTTTATTAATTTGATCAAATTTTAATCCAATATATCTAAATATATAAAAGAAAATTAATTAATGACTTTATTATTAAAAAATAAGTAGATCAACTTTGAGAATACTTCAATAGTGCTTAAATTTTTATAGCTGATGATTTAATTTTATTAATGTTTAAATATTAAATACATGATTTGAGTTGTGGAATAACTTATATATGTGTGTATTAAAAAATTATACCAACCTAAGAATAATTATAGTAGTCAAATAACCAATAACATGAATATGAAAATAATAATTTCGTATAAAGACGACAATTATAGCAGTCAGAATATCACAATCATGTTCAGCATTTATGGATAATGCCGTTATACTATTCATCAATATGACTATTACCAACCATCCTAAGATGAGCCACAGTGTTTTCTTATGTAACTTATCATAATCTGTCACTGTTCCGAGTTGAAGTAGCGTATTATCAATAATATCGAGTTTCTTCAGAGAATTCTGAAATTTCTAAAAAAGAGATGCAATTAGACGAATAAATAATTATTTTTTTGAAAACTTAATTGATTCTTAAATGAAATATTACACAATGTCTAATATCAAATGCATTTTAGTTATCAAAAACATAATTTTTTAATGCGTTTTTATTGCAAATTCTTTTACACAAATTTTATAAATAATAATTTTATTAGGTGCGAAGATTTTATCAATGTATGCCACGTCAATATTTTATTTTAAATATAATCGTAAATGTGGAAATACATTTGTAATTGCTTACTATAGTAATGATCATATATGTATATTGACGTATATATTTACTTACCTTGTTATAGTAAATACCGAACACAATTGACAATAAACTTGTAAACATTTCTAGCGAATAGCTTATGTGGTAGTAAATTGAATTCAATTTTTGAACAGAATTTACAAATGGAGATGTTAATAGACTATAGTAAACTATCCAAATTAGCAGCATATATAAAAGACTAAACCATAGTTTTATGCGATTTATAGGTAAATTAGCAATTCTTAAACCAAGCACATAACTGATTATTAGAAGTGGCTTTAAAATTGTTCGAATATTTTTGGTCATTGCATGCGCCATTGATACATCAAACTAAACTTTTCCTGGTTAGTTCGTTGCATAAACTGTATGGAATGGTAACAATAGTATGTACACAATTTCAATTAAGGCTCTTATGGATATTAAAGTAATCAATTTATTACAATTTATGTCATACTCTTTTGAAATAAGATGATGAAAATGCATCCTGTTTTAACATAAAGCGGACATACATAATGGATATATGATTTAACATAATGGATTTTAAACAATTGCAATAGTTGAGTCCAATTTCTAAGTCTTAATTAACAATTACTGTACAAACAGATCTCAGAGATATTGTCGTAAATTTATTAGATATCGTGTTATAAACAAATAGATGGTGCAAAAGATTTAGAACTTATTCCGTTCAATTATTAGTGTTAAATAACAATTACCAATGAGATGGATCATTGATATCTTTTTTATATACTTGGAAGCGTCGCGCCGCTACCGCTTTGCTTGATTATAGAAACGTTTAATACAACAGATATTTCTTAATGTAAGAGATATTAGTGTTCTATTACATTTAATAGAATAATATAACAGAAAGAAGAATTTTAGGTGTATTTTTAATCACAATAATACATCCAAATTCATCACACGCAGCTGTAACATCTGCCAATACCGGGATGTTGCTGATTTTCTAAATCTTTCTTTAGAGATTCTATATATTTGATATCAAAAGGATTTCTAGAAGTAACTATCTTATAAATTATTGCTTACAAATTGTCATATTTGTTTTATCAATTTTTTTGTCGCTTCTTATGAAATGTGCTATTATAGTAATATTTTTTTAGTATAAATTAAACACTTGACACCAAGCCATTATCGTGTCTCTTGGTATATTTCTCATATATTATGGCAACTACGGTACATTGCATTGCTAAATGTACAGGATATGAAGAATCACATCAATTATTATGCAAGGACGGTCATTATATAGTCTCCTTTCTGATCGCCATTATCATTGGAGCCATTATCATTACAAGCAAATGCTCTTTTATATGATGTAGCCGAATTGATACGCATACACGGACATAAAGCTTCAAGAATATTTTTCAGTATGTGAAATTAATGTGTTTAATGATTTATCTGAATTGATATAATGTAATTTATTCTATATATTGTACATCTCTTTTCTTCTTTTTTAATATATTTACAGTTATGCGTTCTTAGAAAAATCTTTAATCGTAGATGAACCTGAAAGATTTAATGCTAATTTAAAATTATGATTGAAACAGATTACGCACAAAATTGATGGAGTAGGAATAATTATAGCTTCGAAACATTTCCAAATATTTTTGGAGAAACATCGTAGTAAGTTGAACAAAATGATATTAAGCGAAATCGATATTCATTCATTAATCATCGAAGTACACTTTATGATTATTACATATTATAGGGGAGACCGGGGCTATTCGGGACACTTTTATTTCTTTTACTTTCTCCTGAATTCTGTATTTATATAATAAAAAAAATTCGTTACATGGTTTGAAAGGTTGATCTTACCCTTCATAATGCCGTTATAAATTGATCATGGAATTGTACTTGCTTTGAACTATAAATGTTGAATTTGAGTATAAGGGACAGGAGCGCTCCCGTCGCTTTGTTTCTCGGTTGACCCCTCCCCACTCTTAGCTCTCACGCTGAGAGGCCCATTCTGTGGACGACAGTCGTAGGTGTCGGACGACTGAAGAATAAAGACCGTTTAAGAAAACAAGTCCAGTGTTACTTTGCTACCTGCTATACTCATCAATATAATAGAACGTCAAAAATAAATAAAAATGCCGAAAAGTACAAAGTGTCCCGAATAGCCCCGGACTCGGGGCTATTCGGGACAAGTCCAAAGCTATTCGGAAATCTGTATTTTAAGGTTAAAAAATAAAAAAAAATTGTTTTTTAGACTTTATTTTATTTTAAAAAATTTAGCATTTTTTTGAAATTTAGCATTCTCTTTCGGAGCTTTTTTGGGAGGTTTTTTAAAAATAATTTTCGTTGCCTTTTTTTCGAGTCTTTGTTTGCTTTCAGCAAAAAACCAATCCATGACATCAGAGTTTGTCAAAATTTCAGATGACCTTCTTTTATGTCCTCTCCGTGATGTTTTTTTAAACAATTAATTTATCAATTAATTTAGGTTGTAAACAATTACAGGTTAACTTTGTAGATTAGCATTTTCGATATCTTGAATATAACCTCCACTTTCGTTTCGAGAAGCCCCCATTTGCGATGTCCTACGCACAGTATAATCAGTAGGTACACTCAACAAAAAACTGAGTCTTCGCACACGTATCGCCGCGCAACTTTTGTTTTGGGTTGGATCCAATGAAATGCAAGATGATAAGAACGTACATACATATGTGCAGACAATTTATAAGCAATTACATCAGAAATTTTCTTTAGTGATTACTCTTACGAATAATTGTTACTAATAAAACGTTTTATTCGATTCACACATTGAATTTATTGATTTACTGTATCGAATCTATATTATTTTTACTTACCTGTTTGACTGTTTTATTCCTTGTGAGACACTTTTCTCAATTCAATCCTGGATTAAACTTTTAAACCACTATATCGGTCTCACAGACCGCTATTGAAACGTTACTTGTCAACCATTTTCTTATTTGTCACCATTTATAAATATATTTTATTTCTATATTGTATACAAGATTTTTTTGTTGACCTCACATTAAAACATAGTTTTCTTTTCCCCAACACAAATATTCAGAAAACATACATTATATTTTTATTATACACTAGCGATTACCCGGCATGCATTGCAATGCTACTTAAAGGAAAGAAACTGCTTGTGTTTTAATTCCGTTTATTGAAGTGCTTTTGGATACACAATATTTTTTGTTTTTCCATCTGGTGCGTACACGAATAAATCAGAAGATTTTCCGA